TTAAGATATAGAATAACAAATAAGAATACAAACTTTTAAAGAAAGAGCATTTGGTACATGAAAAATTGTTTCATGTCAAGGAATCATGATTCATGAGGATCATAAATCATGAAATTATGATCATTAGGAATGATAAAAATTCATTTGGTTGGTCATAAATTATTTTGGGAATGTTTATAAATATTATATATAAGGAATTTTTTTTTTATATTATATGACGTTTTTATCACATTAAAAAGGCGTTTAGTACATAAAGGTTTTTAGCCCCCCTAGAATCTAACCTTAGAAATGGTAGTTTCATATGTTTTGCTGGTTATTTGAAAAATAACATTTTAGGAAACATTGTTTTTTTGAAGATGATTTTTACATAGATTTTTCACATAATTATTCCATGGTGTGAGGTGTAAAACTATTATTCTCAAGTTAAAATAAAATTTTAATACAATAAAAATGTCATATTACCTTTATTTATTTATTTTATTTAATATAGTAAAAATTATTGATTCCAGATAAGTAAGGTTGTCAATATTGAGAGTTTATGTAATCTCGTGGAGATCCTGTAAATTCGAATCATAAACTCATAAGAGTTTATTGAATATAAGAAATATATTAAAACATTTAGAAATAACATAATAACTAACATTCAACTTCATATTAAAGCAAAATAATAAATTACAATAATAAAGTAACAAAGTTTAGTAATAATTTCACATAAAAACAACTCACAAGTTCTTAAAAATAAAATGACAATAAATAAAAAATTAAGAAAAAACTAATATATTCAAATCATATCTAATCCTCTAATAATATCATCTTCAAGTCCAAGGTGTTGGTCATTACCATCAAACAAAATGTCTGCGTGGAGAGCTCGATGTTGCTGGAAGAGCGCGATGACGAGCGCAACTATAAGCACGACATCGAGTGCGATTGCAAGCGCGACAACAAGCACAATTGCAACTCTTGGAGAACGACGCGTGATGTAGAGGAGAAGTAGCGCGAAATGATGTGCAGAGGAGAAACTCACTAGAGAAGACAAAGAATGAACGACTTCGTGGGGTAAGAAACCTTCATGAAACACACATTTTTGGATTTGGTAAACTCGCCAATCTCGCAGTAAACTCATGATTTCGTGCAAAATTAAGTGAACTTTCTCAAGTTTACTCGAGATCACTCAAAAATGAATTTACCTCTCAGTTTTCTCATTTTGCTTTAGTAAACGTAATATCTTTTAAGATTATGAATTATCACTCGAGATTGACAATCATGGTTCTAGATAATTTTTATAAATTTTTTCATGTACATTTATGATCAACCAAATAGGATGTCATTATCCCTAGTATAGGATTTATGATTCTCAATTTTTCATAAATCATGATTTCTAGGCATAAAAAAAATTATGTGAACTAGAGGCTGCCTAAAACTTTCATTTTTATTTGAGAATGTTAGTTTTCCAACCCAACTTTTTCATGAGAATAATTTTGTGATAAACATGTGTAAGAACTATTATAATATTATTTTTTAAATAACAAAACAAATATGAGAAACTAATTATCAATTTTAGATTCTCGGGAAAGTAAAAAATTTCATGTACCAAATCTTCCCCTTGATGGAAAGAAAAAAAAAAGATACAATTCTTTAAAACTAATATTTTAGTTTGTGTAACTAAGCTCATTTTAGCATGTGCAATATACAAAATAATAATTTATTAATTTAAATATATTTATAGTATCTCAAATTTAATGTAAATTTGTTTGCAGTGTCTCAAATTTAAAGCTGATCTTTTTAATTCCAAAAATTTCAAAACAAAAAGTCCTACTTTTTTAGTCTTTATATTCAAATTTTATTAAAAATTTATTAAATAGTCGCATAAAATCTACCTATTGGTATCTTTAGTATCTTTGGTTATTTCTAATTGTGAAAATCTCACATTAAATACAATTGATGCTATATTATTATTTTAATCCATTATTTTCAAATATGTTATTGATGATTACAGGGAGTAAAACAAGACTTTTAAAAATTACATGACTAAAAACTATAGTTTTAAATTTGAGATACTAAAAATAAAATTTATTCTAAATTTGAAGAACTAAAATATATTTAATTCTTATTTATTTTATCTAACTAAAATTTATAATAAATAAAACTTTTATCATATAAATTATATTTTAATTTTATAAAAACTAATATATATTATGATACAAAATTATTTTTAACTATTGATAATTTATTTTAAAAAATAATTTAACATAAAAATAAAGTAAAACAATAAATTATAACAGATATTTAAGAAAAGTTTTTATGAAACACTCTCATTCAAGATAATTATGTTAATGTAATAGAAAAGATTATGAATAATATTTTTTAATAAATTAAAAATAAATTTTAAAAAATGATATATATTTTTTTACCAAGTGAAAAAGGATATACTGTTAAAAATAAGATATTATTAAATAAATTTAAAAAAATTTCTCGTTCATAAAAAGAGGCTAAAATTAGTCTTGAAAAAAAGCACATAAAAACACTTTAATTTGAGATACCTATTATAATTTAACTATTATTTTAATATGTGTAATGTAAAGGATAAATTATTTTTTAATATAAAAAATTATAATAAATAAATATTTTTTTGCATATAAAATTATATTATAATTAAATTTATAATAAATAATTCTTTTGACCATATAAATTATATTTTAATTTTATGATAAATAATTTATATTGTAATAAAAAATTATTTTTTAACTATTAATATTTTTCTTTTAAAAATGAGAATGATAAATTAAAGTCTTAAATATGTTTTTAGTTTTTGAAAAATTAGCTAATGTAGAAATTCTTCCTTGTTTTTCATCCCACTAAAATTTGAACTATTGTTTTTAGTTGTTATTTTTGTGTGATCATTTTTAACTTTTTTTTATTATTAAAAGATTGAGTAATCATTCTATATATTACCCACAAGTACTGCTGATATCATGTTAGCATTTGACATTTCTAAAAATTCCTATAGATCTTTAAAATAACAGTTATTTATTTAACTTAAAATGATTGTTAAGTACTAAAAATAATAACTTTAAAATTTGGAAGAATAATAATTAAAGAAAAATATTTTATAAGGATCAAAACTAAAATTTATTAATTTCACATGAACAATTTTTTTTTATTTATAAATTTAAGAATGATGAAAAATAAAGAAAATATTTTAGAAGGATAAAAATTAAAAATCATTCATTTTATAGAGACTAAAAATATATTTAACTTATATTAAAATAAATAAAAAGTTAAAGAAGTTTGTAGAAAACTTTATTAAATAAAAAAAGTTAAAAGCGCTCTCGTTGAAAATAAATTCTTAAAAAAGACTCAAGAAAATTATTCCAATTTAGAAATAAAGAAAATTTAAGTTAGAATAACCATGTACCAAATAGATCCACATATGAAATCAATGGGTTTAGCTAATTAGTTGAACAATTTGGATAAGTGTTATAAACGCTCTTGGTATCATGTTCGATTTTTAAGTGTAAAAAAGAGGCACACATTTGATAGTTAAGAAAAAAAATTATAATAAGAGCATTTTTAACAGAGTATTATTGATACATTTTACTAATAAATAACCATACTTATTAGTAATTTCGAAGTGTGATGATATAATATATGAAACTATTTAAAAATAAAATAACCACTCTTAAAAAAATAACGTTGCTTATGAATTAAAAAATAATATTTTTTAGTCTTGATTATTTCAATAAATAACAAAGAACACAAATCACTTCAACAAATAAAAAAATAATCATGTATCATTAAAGTAAAATAAGAACTTTAATGAATTAGTTATAAAAATGACCATTCGACACTACTAGAATTTCTCTTATTACATGCGACTTTTCCTGCAAATTTTTATGAAAAATTCGCATGAAACGTTGTTCCTTCAAATTTTTCTACGAAATTTTATCTGCAGGTAATACTTTCGTGGATAATATATTTTTGCAAATTTTAAAATTCGCAAGAAATTTTCCTGCGAAAAAAATTTGCAAGAAAGTTTCCTGCGAATTTTTTTCGCAAGAAATTCTGCAGGAATATTTTTTACGAAAAAAATTAAAGAAATTATTATAAATTCTATTAATAATTCTTCAACTTTCAAATGCTCACAATGAATTCATTCGAAATATTTGTTTTTATGTCTGAAACATATGATACATAATCTTTTAAATTCTAAGATTGTATATTATAAGTCTAACACTCAACCATAAAAATCAACTTGTAAGGTAAGTGTTGCCCCAACTTATATACTCTTTAATTGTTTTATTTTCAATTAATGTGGGACTTGAAGTTTTTTTAAAGTATTAAACTTATAAATTTAAATATTTTTTTTTATTTTTCCTGCGAATTAAAATTGGCAGGAAAATTCACAAAAAAAGTTACCTGCAAAATTTTTCTACCATTTAGTAAACATTACTTGCAAATTTATTTTTGTAAGAAAATTTGCAAGAAACAAAATAAAATTCTTACAATATTTTCTGCAAATTTTTACCATAGAAAAAAAATTCTATAATCATTAAAATTGTAGCAAAATTTGCAAAAATTTCTTGTAAATTATTTTTTGTAAAAAAATTTGTAAGAAATATCTGTAAATTATTTTTTGCAAATAAATTCATAAAAAAATTTTGCGAAATTATTATTGCAAGAAAATTCGCAAAAAATTTCTATGAATATTTTTTTGTAGGAAAATTTGTAGAAAAATGATATTTTTCTAGTAATGGGAAATACTTTAAAGATGACAACTTAATTTATTAAATATTTATATATATTTATTATTTTCATTAAAGTATAGTCAACCATTATATATTAAATTATTTATATTGAGATAAAGTAATTAATATACAAGTAATTTTTTATTCATTTTTTAAAATTTATCAAGAAATATCCATTTCATTTATATTTATAATTAATGCATCAATCAACATATGTCTTCAAGTCAACATATTCAAGATATTCTCATAATTCATTTTCCTATATAAACGTCTGCTGAAGTTCATGTTCAATAAACAAGATGAACACTGAAATGAAGTCTTCTCTGAAATTCACATTCGTTTTGGCTTTCTTCATCATTGCTACAAGTTAGTAATAATTTATTTCAATTTTATATTTCACCAATTTCATATACATTATTGTGATTTTTCACTCAATCAATTTACTTCCATTCCTTTCCTTTGTTACATATAATGATGTTCTTTATATGGGCATGTATTGTTTACACATGTAGATATGAGTGTGAAAGCTAAAGAACAATCCTCAGTATCTCCACAGGCACGTTGTTCCAGAGACACAGATTGTAAAAAATATTGTCCAACGTGCTATTCATGTAATTGTGTGAAACAAGTTTGTTTTTGCGAAAGTCCACCTTCTGCTGCTAATGCCCATGCTCCACCATATTGAGCATGCATGGTCACATTGTAATTCAATATGAATGTTAAATAAAAACTTTTTACCATTTTGATTAGTGTTTATTGATTAACATTTACGGTTTATTTGTTTAAATTAAGATAGGGTGGCAAAAAGTTGATTATCCGGTATAAAATAATTGCAAATATATTTTGTTAGATTTTTACTTTTAAATAATATATTTGGGACAATCAAATTCTTAAAAAATTGAATTTTGTAGCAAAATTTCATGCAATAATTTTATAGTAACTACAATAATATTTTTGTGGCAATATTGTTAGTAGAATATTAGTATTGTTTTAGAGTTTACTTGAATATAAATTAAAAAAAAATACTTTTGAAAACTTTCCAACTGCAAAAATATTTTTTATTTTTGATATGAAAAAACTCTCAAAATTACATTTAAGTTCATATATCCAAACAGATTTATAGTGAAATATCTCATGAATTTTTATGTAAAAAAGTTTGTTTATTACTTTCTTTTGAAAATTTTATAAGTAATATTTTGAAGATGAATGGGCAAGAATATTTTGCTAATAAATTTGTAAATATATTTTTTTATTTGAGAAAATAATATAGGTAAATCTAGTGACAGATACATAAATTTTAGATAGTAAGGACAATACTTATTCATATATTTGTAGTATTAAAAATTATATATATATTTTTTAAATGCATTAATACATATCATAATTACTTTTACAAATTTTTATATCTATGATTACAATAAAAGATAAAAATAAATTAGGTAATATTATAGATTTTATTATAATTTAGTAGGTTTGGACGTACCTTTTTTTATTTTTTAAATATATATCCTAAGTATGACTTATTTATCTATCATAGACATTTTTAAATGTTTGGTTAGAATTATAATTCTAAAGACCTATTTCTAGTAATTTAACATTATTAAAATAAAAATAAATATGTTAAATTTTATAAAAATTAAGTTTAATTTATTTATGATATAAACATGTTTTTAATATCTAATATATATATAT